GAATGTGGACTTTATTCCTGCTATAGGTTAGATTTGTATTAAAGCTTAATAGTTGATATTTTAACAATTTTAACAAATTTAAAAATCAGATGAGATTTATTGACCAACTTCATTCATTACAGATTCAGAATCCTAATTTTATATGAATTGTTAAGGTTTGTGTGACAYATGTTGACCCAGCTGCTGACAGTTTGTCCTCTTGTTGACTTCAGGACGAAGTTGTTGCTAACAACGTGAAGAAGGCTGAGTTTGTGGAAGCTGCAAACATAARGTGTCTTCACACCAAGAGCTGCTTCCCACAGATAAAATACGCTCGCAGCTGCTTGTCRGAGGTTTGTAAAATATACTAACAACAGAGGTCAAAGTTCACATAYTATTGTACAAAATAATTTAAATTTTACTGCTGCTGTCTTTCTGCCTATAGGGGAGAACAATGACGGCAACAAGTTTCAGTGAGTTTCTTGCTTTTATTTCCTTTGAGATAATTGTTCAATTTTTGTCTTTGCTTCCTCTCATTTTTACATTTCATTTTACAAGGTATATTTCTGATTGAAAAACTGCTTGAAGTGAGGCTTCTGTCAAATAACAAATGTGCTTGTTTCACAGTCAACTGCACAAACAGCAGGGAACGTCTGCATAATCCAGGTAGTTCATCCTTTTTTAAGATTTCTATCAGAAAAACTTTAACAAATCAAASATAAAAAGTGAACTGAACTCTGACGGCAGAATTGACATGTTAATTTGTGGTCAAATAGATTGTGTCACAGTCACCTCCTATTTATCATGACTCACTTCAAAGATCATTTCCTCAAACAAAATTTCCATTCATAAAAACAACTGAGTGCTTTTCATTTCAGAAGTAAACACAGTTTTAAATGCAAATATGTTTTTTCCCCTYCAAACAACACAGCCACCAAACCCTCAGATCTTTCACCAGGTAGGCGACAGCCTGATCTGTAAAATGTTATTTCATTCTGGATTTGTGTCAGATGAGAAGAAGTTCTTTYTGCTCTTCTCTCCAGCAAACCACTGGATCGTTCGGCTTGTTGTTGTCTGTGTCCTGCTACTGATGTAATCCTGAACAGAAACCAACTTTGCAGGTATTTTMATGTCTGTCTACATGTTTCCTGCAATGAGCTCTGCTCTGAGATGTTTAAAGAGAAGAGATTGTTTCATGTGCAGTTGGAGCAAACATCTTTACAGCACTGTGATCCTAAAAAATAACCAGGTCAATGAGGAAGAAGTTGTTGTCCAGTGTTGCTAAAAACACATTTTTATGTATTTGTGTTTTTCTTAGATTCTTTCGTGATTAGTTGGAGCGTTGACAATTTTTGCAGGTATCTTTACTTCTGCTTTTAATGTTGTATAACCACTGTCTTCATCTGGTTTGTTTTAAAGAAAGATAACAGACACTTTTTGTTTGACTGGCAGGTGGTTCAGGAGGTGTAATCGAGTCAGAACGGCCCACCCAACGAGGACCTGTTGAAACAGAGGAGACGAGAGAAACTTTTCTCTGATCGTCATACACTCACCGTCCACTTTATTAGATACACCTTGCTAGTATCAGGTTGAAACCCTTTTGCCTTCAGAACTGCCTAAACCTTTCCTGCCATAGATTCAACAAGGTACTGGAAACATTCCTCAGAGAGTCTGGTCCAAATTAACATGATAGCATCACACAGTTGCTGCACATCCATGATGCAAATCTCTCGTTCCACCACATCCCAAAGGTGTTATGACTGGGTAAATGAGTTTTACTAAAGTGCCACACACCAGAGCAGTTTTAAGGTTTTAATTTAAAAACAGGCAGCTGGTTCTGGATCCTAGCGTCACAGGGATCAGGATCTCTAAACAACTGAGAACCAGGTTAGTGACTTGGATGGACAGAGAACTTGACGAAGTGTGAAACAAAGTTAATAACCTTTTCAAAGAGCTTTGAAATTAATTCAGACCTTGTCAGTGTTGGCCAAATGTTTTTTTTCTTGTTTGTGTATTTTGAGTCTGTAGAGAAATTTCTGTCAATAATTATTGTTAGTAGACCAAATTATTTAGTTTTTTATGGTAAAACTAGAGATAACAAGCTTCACTGACTTGTTAACTGCACAACACTCACTTGTTTTCTGTTAAATTTATAAAAGTAATTCAATATACAATGGTTAAATTTCATTTTCAAAAATCACCAGCTCTATTTAAGACTGTTTAAACTTGAATCGTTTCAACCTGCAGTTTCCTGGCTTTATGGTGCAAAAAACAAAAGCCTTTTTGTCTGTGGAAGCTGATTATCTCTTTGCAGTACCAAATGGAGATCCAGTAGCTTTGTAGTAATTTTTCTCCTGGCCAAGTCAAAAAACAGCCTTAATATTTTGTATTAGTGAAACAATGGATACAGTATAGATGAAAATAAGCTGTGTTCTTAAGATAAGAATCAACAACCTTAAAAAAGTCTGTTTTTGCCAAACAAAGCATGTAATAATTCCAATGTCTTTGCAAAACTGTCCTACCTCAGCTTCTGTCACATAATTATTATGTATTATACTGTATTATGTGCCTGTCAATGAAATAGTAAAGCATTAAAATATTCAAGGATTCAAGGATATTTATTTGTCATTCCCTCAAACACAAACATCAGATGTTAATGAAAAGTAACAAAACTGGTTGCACAGGTCCCGATGTTCAGCATGAACGATAGTGAAAAATAATACAATAAAATTGAAATATTTATATAAACAAGCATCGACAGCTACAGCAGACAGTGTGCAAAAAGATACATCTATACAACAATAGCAGCAGGTCTGTTATTTTTTATTTATTTTCATGAAACTTAAATTCTACAACTTAAAGTCAAAGTCTTCAACATATAAGATGTCAAATAAGTTATTTTCCATTCTCAATGATGTACTCAGATTTATTATGTGTATATGTGTTAATCATAATTTCAACAAAGCAGATTGTCACATATCTGTTGTGTTATCATGCATTTGTAAAATAAAACAACATGGAAGTGAGTGCATTTTATTTATTTATTGAATTTAATTTATTTATTGGATTTTAAGGGTTTGGCTCCATTGTCTCCTAATTTCTGCAGCCAATGAAAATGGATGAGCTGTGAGGTGAGGTGTCTTGTGACAAGAAGTAAGTTGGGGGTGGGGTTGGGTACTGTATTTGGAGGTAGCAACTCATCTCAGAATAAAAGGCTAATTTTCAGAGTGATTCTATTTTAAATTCTTTGACAGGTTTTTATAGCGAATTCAATGAATTTCACCAATCTTTTAAATGTAGTTTCATTCTGAGAATCTGCTCTGATCTCAAGGATTGTGAGGACAATTCAAAGTGTYGGCACAAAGGCACAAACATGGTGTTCTCTAACCACACAGTCAAAAAGAGGAACTCTGCAGCACATTCAGAATTTACACTCACAAAATGGCCAGCTGACATCAAGATGAGGCAGAGATAAGGGACTTTCCTTAAATGTTTATTCTAACCCATGAGACAAAAGAAGAAAAAAATAACAAGTTTAATTGCTTGCGTTAAGTCTTGCTGGTAGCAGTTGCATAAAAGAAAACCAGCTCTGAAACTACTGAAAGCAAAAAGTTTGTTGAAGGTGGTGTTTGTGAGTGGGAAACCGCTGTGCTGAATTCCCCCAGAGCACATACAAGCAAAAAGCAGCAGGACGATGCTAGTGTCAAAATCTGCAAATAGATGACAAAACCACACCGATTAAAACCTCAAGGGGAGGAGAAGCAATTCTTTCATCATTATCCAAGTTGACACAACCACTCTGACTCTGCAACACAATGATGACATTACTAAATTGCTGCTTCTCAACATCAACTCTGAACTGACTTTATGGGAGCTAAATTTTGTGATGGTAAAATCTACAACTTTGTACAGTTCAGTGAATTAAACACCAAGTACTATTTTGTATTTGGTGCAACACTCAATGCTTTTGTTGGTGGATTTAGTCCTCCGAGGCTTTAAAAGGCAAACAGTCAGAAGAATCCTGATCATCTGTCTTCTCAAGACTGAGTTCTCATCCAACAGATGACTACTCATTGTACTACTGTAATTTCTACATTACAAATTCTCAAGCAGAGCTTAAACACAATATCAATAAATGCTACACTTAAATGATACACTTAAAATGCTGCACRGGCGCAAACCTCCTGATATAAAGAAACGCAAATTTTAGTCAAGAAACAGATCTAAGCTTCATCTAAGGAGAAGTTTGAAAATTTGCAGACTGCAATCAGAAAGGTGTTAATCCCAGACAAATAAAATTACTTCAATCACTTCTCTTCTAGGAGATTATCTGTTACAGTAAATTTGCTCACAAAGTAAGGAGTGACAGAAGGCCATGGACAATTAAACATTAACCAGGCGTTGCCCATAAATGTTCTCCTCCACGGCTCTGCTGGTATTTCATTCATTCCTTTATGGGGATATTACCCCAGATAGCACACATTACACACTCCTTTCACAGGTTATGAAGCAATGAAAAAAACTTTCTCCTTGTTCTCAAACATAAAAACTAATAAATGTTATCAATTATTTAATTTGATAAAATGCTTTATTTAAGAGAGAAACAAAGTAATTTCACAACATCACATTTTATGGTACCATTAAAGGTCAATTTGTGTGGATTATATTGCAGTTATGTGGCATGATTTATAACAGCTCAGCTGTTAAGTTCAAAATCTGTTACTGCACAGTGTACTGGGCATACATGAATATATTATTTGTATTTCTATCTGAATGTGTAGGTGTATATAAAATGGTGGTAATGCATATTTTGACATGAAAAAAATAAAATGTGTCTAGAAAAGTAACATACTGAAAATACGTGTGTGCATGGATATTTACATTTAGGTATTTATTTTGTAAGTGTTATATACCCTCTGACCACTATCAGAAGGCAAGGCAGGTGAAGTGTCTTGCCTAAGAACACAACGACTGAAATGGCTGGACGAGGGATCGAACCAGCAATATTCCGGTTTCAGGACGACTTGTCTAGCCACTCCACCACAGCCGCCCCAAGCATAAAGAATCAGAATAGCCTTTTATTTATTTTAGTAAGTATTGGAGAAGGGTGTGGTTAAATAAGATTTTAGTTCTCACCATTCCTTTTCAAATATGTTGATTTATCATAGTTTTTATTTTTTGTTTTGTTTTCCATACATTTGAAATAAACTAAACAACAAGCTGTACCTCAAGCTGTGTCACAATGTAAAAAAATAAATTTGATAAATATGTGACTATTTGTTGTTCTATAGGAAAGGAAAGGAAAGGCAAGGAAAGGAAAGGCAAGGAAAGGAAAGGAAAGGAAAGGCAAGGAAAGGAAAGGAAAGGAAAGGAAAGGAAAGGAAAGGAAAGGAAAGGCAAGGAAAGGCAAGGAAAGGAAAGGCAAGGAAAGGAAAGGAAAGGAAAGGAAAGGAAAGGAAAGGAAAGGAAAGGAAAGGAAAGGAAAGGAAAGG